GTGAGTGTGGTGCCTGTCTTTGGTATTGACTGTGTAATGGAAAAAGTCCAGACAAAAAGAATGCTCTTGACCTCATTTTGGTGCACTGCAGTACATGTTGATAGCTGAAGTTGAAATTGAAAGTTTATATTTAGATACAGAATGTTGTGCAACATCTTTCTACAGGAGAGGACATTTACCTCACCTCTGAAACAAATACAAGTCGATGCTTGTATCAGCATGATCCATTTTCTACAGTATATTGTTTAGGACAAGGAAACAGCACACTGCATTTGTCACTTGTGTATAAAAAGCTATGAGAGCTGAAATCCCCCCTGCTTCTATGTTGGTTTAAACCTGTTACATACTTGTCACCTTGTAAACAACAACTCTAATCTCTTTGAATAGAATTGCCTGACATATTTCCGTTAAAAAAAAGTATTTGCTTTTTTTCTATCTCTGAGTCTTTTGCTGTTGTTGGCAAGAGTGTGAAGCACTGAAGATTGTGCAGACATTTGTTATTCTTTTGTTAAATATAATTTAGTAGAAAAGAGAAGGTGCACTGGCGATCAATATCAGGTCAGCCAATGATGGATGGCGGCGCGATTACTAATTTCACTGTGAGACAAATAACTGTGCGCTGGGCCCTCAGTGCTGAGAAATGGAGAGAGAAAATGGCAGACCACGCTACACGGGGAGCTTTGGCTCCCCAATCCACTTCCCTATTCACACGACCATTCATCTCCATTGCTTCTAGACTCCAGGCTTTCAGTCTCACTCTCTAAAGGATCATAATGACTGCTCGGGTAATCACATAAGGGAACCTTTTGTCTACTATCACTATCCTGACTTTACCACGAATTACGCAGCTCTAACTTTAGTAGCAGTGGGAAATCAGGTCAGCCCAATAGCATTCCATCTTCACTGCGTTATGTGTTATTGATGCACAGTAGTAGGAATGGTTAACATTGAGGTACCCGCATTACTTTTGACACTGAGACAGCTACAGGACCCAAAAGTGGAAACCAATAATCAATTTTAGGTTATTACACTGTTTATACATTTCAAATGTTATTATTTACCTTTTCAATAGAGCTTAAAAGCCAGGGCCACAGTTCCACATTCATCCACTATATTAATGTATCAGAAAATCCTTATACAAGAGACTTTAAGCTACTAAGCCAACCAATTACAAAATGAATCTTAGCCATGAAACATTGGAATTGAAGACTTAGTAAATATTGTTTTTAAAATGAAAGGACTCCTATCCCGTAAACCATATAGTAACTCGACGACTTTTGAAACTTCCCAAAATGTTTAAACAAACTGTTGTTGATTTAAAATGAGAATAGATTTAGACACTGTGTGTCACATCCTGGCCCTGGCTGATCGCCTCACTCCCTCACCTGTGTATTTTCGCTCCCTGTTAATCACCTGCCTGGTCTCAATGAGCCTCAGCTGTCCCTAATGATCACTCCTCACCTGTGTATTTAGTCTGTGCTGTTTCCTTGGTCAGTGCCAGTTCGTCTTGTCTGTATAGCAGAAGGTGCTCCATGTTTCTCTTCTGACGTAAGCTATTGTTCTAGCTGCTTAGCATTTGTACCAACCTAGTTGGTTGTTTTTTTGTTGCTTCTCTAGTAGTTTTCCGCCAACTTAGTTGGTTGTTTTTCGTTACTTCAAGTCAGTACATTTTTTGATCATTGCCTGTTTTATTTTTACCTTTTGGATTAAACGCTTGACTAAAGACCTTATTGCCCGGTGTGTGCTCGGAACAAAGTTTCTCGTCGGCCTTCCCCTGGTCTCCTACGTCCCCTTCCTGTACCTACTCGCCCTTGGTCGGACGTCTCTCTGGACTTTGTAACGGATCTTCCCCTGTCCCAATGTAACACAACCATTTTGACCATTGACGACAGATTCTCAAAGTTGGTGCATTTTGTTCCTCTGCCCAAGTTACCCTCTGCCAAGCAAACGGCGGAGGTTGTCCTGTCCAATGTTTTCCGGTTACATGGCTTCCCTAAAGATGTTGTGTCGGATCGGGGTCCCCAGTTTGTCTCCAAGTTTTGGAAGGAGTTCTGCATTCTCCTGGGTGCCACCGTTAGCCTCTCCTCCGGCCATCACCCTCAGTCCAACGGACAGACCGAGCGGCTCAACCAGGAGTTAGAGACCGGTCTGTGCTGTCTCGTCTCTCAGAACCCCACTACTTGGAGTAAGAATCTTATCTGGGTTGAGTATGCGCACAACACATTGCCTTGCTCTTCTACTGGTCTTTCCCCATTTCAGTGTGCTTATGGCTACCAACCGCCCCTGTTTCCGTCCCTGGAGGGAGAGGTCAGGGTTCCTTCTGCCTTGGCACTGATTCGGAGGTGCCGTCGCATCTGGACTGGGGCTAGACAAGTGCTGCTTAGGACGTCTGCTCGGTACAAGAGGGCAGCAGACCGCCGACGGATCCCTGCTCCCACCTATCGTGTCGGCCAGAGAGTATGGCTCTCCACTCAGGATCTTCCTCTTCGAGTCGAGTCCCGTAAATTGGCGCCTCGCTTTGTTGGTCCCTTCCCTGTGTCAAAGATTATGAATCCTGTTGCTGTGAGACTCAAGCTTCCCAGGTTCATGAGGTCACACCCAACGTTCCATGTGGCTCGGATCAAGCCGGTCAAAGAGAGCCTGATGGATTGGGAGGGCTATGGTCTTGAGGAGAGGGAATGGGTATCTTCAAAGAACATTGTCGACCCAGACCTCATCCGGGATTTCCACAGGCATCATCCAAACGAGCCTGGACCGTCCGGTGCCGGTCGTTGAGGGGGGGGTACTGTGACATCCTGGCCCTGGCTGATCGCCTCACTCCCTCACCTGTGTATTTTTGCTCCCTGTTAATCACCTGCCTGGTCTCAATGAGCCTCAGCTGTCCCTAATGATCACTCCTCACCTGTGTATTTAGTCTGTGCTGTTTCCTTGGTCAGTGCCAGTTCGTCTTGTTTGTATAGCAGAAGGTGCTCCATGTTTCTCTTCTGACGTAAGCTATTGTTCTAGCTGCTTAGCATTTGTACCAACCTAGTTGGTTGTTTTTTTGTTGCTTCTCTAGTAGTTTTCCGCCAACTTAGTTCGTTGTTTTTCGTTACTTCAAGTCAGTACATTTTTTGATCATTGCCTGTTTAATTTTTACCTTTTGGATTAAACGCTTGACTAAAGACCTTATTGCCTGGTTATGCTCTTGAGTCCTATTTTTGCCCGTACTTGTGCTTGATACTGTGAGGCCTATAAACATTTTCAGAAACACATTTAGAACCCTTCAAAAATCAGCCGCCATGTTGGTTCTGTTGAAAATCACAGAGAAGACCATGAAGCAGACACTGTAGCCTATGTAATTCGACAGTTAATCGGTGTGATAAACATTGGATTGCTGGTAATGTGGTAATTTTCCATGACATTGCAAATACAAGTTTTTTGTTTTGTTCTTAACACTGTTAATATTATACAAATGTGTGATTTCTACAGGAGCAGACACCATGGATTTTAAACCCTGACATATTGTGGTAAATTTACCTTGGATAGTCACAAAACGATTATTTATAAATTGAGTTGGTCTCACTGTTAAGTTCTATAAATAATTTCCAAAAGAGGAAGGAGATACATCACAAATACAAACAAAAGGTAATCTTCATTTGCCTTCAAATCAGATTGATGTATTCAGGAGAGGATGAGAGGAAGGGGTGGGGGACAGGATAGGTCAGAGAGAAAGGCATGATGGGACGTGTCCAACTTTCTAGGTCTCTCAACGCTCAGATGAACTCATTAGAAGTTAATTAATCACAGGTATCGATCCGTTGTCACTCTTCCCCGCACAAGGCTCCACTAGATCCCAGGGCTCGGGTTCTGCTCTGCCGATGGAAATGCTGAGGTCTTTTGTCTCTCTGCCTTCTCAACTGGGCTGTGGTATTTATCCTGGCGCCATGATGTGTGTCAGCGTGTAGCATGAGATGGCAGATCCATGGCCTGGGATGTGGGACAACCAATAGGACGGATGTATGATCAGGATGAGACTTTAATTGAGTGTTAATGCAGTATAGATTTCCATACTGTATCACATCGTTTCGCACCAAACAATCTATATTCACCAGTCATCCATGTGGGAGCAACAACATTTTACAGACACAAAAACACCCTTCAGGCAACCATAACCAAACCAATTTTTATTTCAGTTTTTTCTCTGTGATTAATTGCTTTGACAAATGTAGCTTCTGGCTTTTCAGCTTTAATCATGTACACCTTTTTATACTCCTCTTTTCTGTGTAGTTACATACAAATTGACACTGACTGTTGTTCTCCATCCACATTGTCTGTGTTACGTTCCCTATTGGGCTAGGGGAACCAAAGGTAAGCGACACGACCAGAGTGGAATTGGTAACAATTATTTATTAAGTGGTTTATTTATAACAGGAGATAATAAGGGCAGGCAATCAGCCTGAAACAAACCAAAAATGCCAAAACGGCTGGTCTAACCAGCAACAAAAAGAGAACTCCAAACAAGAGTTGTAAAGCTTATTCAGCGTAATAGGTAAAGGAGAAAACAAAACCTCACGTTAAACGTGGTACAAATGAAATGAGGAAGGCTGCACACACACAGCTGTAGCTGGTCATCAGGTGCTAATTACCTGGGTCTAAACTGTTACACTAATCCTAAATGCTGATCAACAGGAGCTAATCTACCTGGGTCTAAGCTAACACAATACCACACACTACTTAGCACTCTGCTAAGCAGTCTAACTAAGTACAGAGGGTTACAGGGTTTACAAACACAACAAATTAGGTAACAAGAGGCTAGAGGCGTCTGTCTATCCACACAGAGCCTCCAGAATGATCTTCGTCCCCGTTCTTTGTACTCCTCCCCCGGATGACGTTCCGGAAGCGGGCGGTGAAGAGTTTATCGCCGGCCACTAGAGGGCAGCGTCACTGCTGTCGCTGTCCGGATATGCCGTGCTCTGACCCGGTAGTGCCGAGCGGCCATTTTAGTTCAAATATTGTTCATTCACTCCGCCTCGAGTTGAGACGTTCATCCACTCATTCATGTAAGATTGTTTCCACTATTGTTTGGTGTGTCTTTACTCTATGTAATTGAATATATGTGTATTGGTCATGACATGCATGTATGTAGTACTTTGTCAGCTTACCTTATCTAGTATCTATCTAGTACTTTGTCAGCTTATCTTGCTGCATTGCTCTGTTTCAGGGTGTCGTCATCCTTGTCATTAAAGTACCGAAACTGACATTGAGGAGTGTGTTTCTTCAGGCGGGAATTGGATGACGTCACTCCAATCACTGTTTCGGACGTTGCGAGGGCGGGACGGCCAACTTCATCAGGAGAACTGCGCAGCTCATGTACATGTACACACACACACACACACACACACACACACACACACACACACACACACACACACACACACACAGAGTTAACAGTCCCAGGAAGGCAGCGGCTGTAACAGTCTGTCATGACTGAGTAGTGTGGAGTCTAAGAAAAATAAGTTTGAGAGTTTGATTGTATGTGCCTTAACCGAGTCAAGTGTATATAATTCACAACATAAGTCAGATAAATAGATCATTACTTTCATTCTCAAGTGAAGTATAACACTTGACCAAACATTTATCTGCTACTTAAAATAAAAAAGAGCTGGAACCGCATCCCCATTGTAGTTATGACTGGTTGTGATTTAATCAGGCTATTCCTGAGCTGGAACAAAAAGGTAAATGTGGGCAGCTTGTGCAGTGTAATTGACCAGAACAGGTGTTATCTATGAAATTACAACAAATGTATCTTCACTAAAATGGATATCAATATAATCACAATAACTTTGAACAATAACCTTAACCTGTTAAGCCCGGCAGCCCCCGGCTTTCTTTTCACGAAATTGTGTCTCAGGGCTTCTTAACATTTAACAACCTATTAATGTGTCATACCCACTTAACGGGAAGAAACTCAGCTAACTGACGATACAAACCATTTTTACCTAAACAAAACACAAGTCTCACAAGAAGTGTCTAAATGAGCCCTGAGCGAACAAATTCTAACGCACTTAGCACAGAACTCACAGTAGAAATACTTTATTACTTATCAGATCTGTTAGCAAGCTGAGATTCCACAGATTCTAGAAATATAAGTATCATCACTGTGCGATCAAAACTCATGGCAGGGGAAGCGAACCCAGACATCACACGACAAAGCTTTACGGAGCAAAAACTGAAAATAGTCTTACCGTTGCTGATTTTCTGATCAAAAGTTGTGTTCAATGGCATTAAATCGATAAAAACGCTGCTGAAGGTTAATCCATAGGTTAATCAAATGTGTCGGTGTCACTTTGAAATTATTACTGATAATCCAACATTCCATTTTTGTCAAAAACTGAGATTTCATATTAGCTTAGAGCTACAACCCAGCTTCCAGCTACCCATTACTCATTCACCAATGGGTAATGTTTAGATGGATTTTAGGAACTCCCCTCTCGATTATATTGGCTCTAACGGTTCAAAAGAGGTGTCAATCATCAAAATTGACGAGGGGGGCCAGAGATATGGAAAATGCACCCAAATGACCCCAGAAGTGGATTTATTTTTCAAAATCTCTCTAAAAAGGTCAAATGTCACTTGTTTTGCATCAATCTTGATACAGGGTACTTATTATATGTTATAGTTTGGATTCCTAAAGCTTTTAGTCCACTATCCCATCATTCAAGGTTAGTTTTCACTATAAGTAATGTTTTTTTTTTTTGGACGGACACTATAATTTACAGTTTTTTTACTATGTTCAATCTGAATTTACTTTTCTATTCTATATTGATTCTGACTTTTCTACATCCAACTCACAGGTTTATCATTGCTTTGAGAGAAAATATTATTAATTTACCCCTTTTAGAAGTGAAATTTCATTTTCGATCCTGAGACCTGAAAAACAGGCTCAGGGGGTTAACAGGTTAAACAATGCAATTAGCCAATGTTTTCATAAACACAGCTGTTTAACTTGTATGTGTTTATGTATCACAGTGTAAGTGACTCAATAAAAACATATCTATGCACAATTTACAAAGGCCTGGCTCAGCAAAAACCTTTTAGATCTTGGTTCATAAGACCCTGTGTTTCTTAAAGGGGACCTATCATGCAAAATGCACTTTGTGATGTCTTTTATACATAAATATCAACCTGATCTCACCAGAATGCGTGACTCCACCACGACTCCTTAACACCGTATTGCGTGGTGGAGTCACGCATTCTGCTACATTTGCGTGTCGGCACCACGCAAAAAACCCCAATGTAAAGTGAATGAGGCTCTTTTGTCGTGGTACACACACGCATTTCTACAACGTCCCACAGTGAGCTTTTATTCTATAAAACGTTTTTAAAATCTACTTTATAGCTTGTAGTAACTCACGGGAGGCTTCTTTTATTTTATTTGTATTCATAATCATTTTTATTTTTCGTCAGAATGTAAAAATTACATTAGTTACGAATTTTTGTTCTCAAAAAACAGTGCATTGTGTGTAATACAACTGTGATTTTTATTAAATTAGTTAGTTTTTAAGGAAGGCCAGAGCTTCAGCTGTGTCAAATAGATTGTTCCCTTTAGTTAACGTTATTTAAAAGATAATGATCATGTCCCCTTTATTGTATTACGAGCGTCCATTCCCATTGGATAACGGAGAATTTTACACCCGGAAGTAAGTATTCTCCTTACTGTCGATTGATTTTACAGTGATATCTGCACTACTCATCAACTCAAAAACACCAAATTATCCTTGTTAATTACACAACATTGATTGGTTTAAATTGTGTACAATGCTTTTGTATTTTTCCCCTTCGATTCGGAGAAACGAATATTTTTTCGGAGTTTTTGGATGGCAGAAGACACTACACTACCCAGAATCCTCAGCTATCGTTTGGGACTACACCATGTGCTTAGCTTGACAAACCCCGTGATCAGTCCTCAAGCTCTGTGATTGGATGTTGGAGTGGCAGTGCGCAAAGTTTACACGGAGCGTCAAAAAGCACCTTGAAATGGAATGAAACCCATCGACGGCACACTATTCAAAACAAGAATCGAACGTGTCCTATCCCCCCCCCCCCTTAGGTCGCAGGTTTCTCCAACAGTGCAACACAATAAAACAGATACACAGAAAAAATTGTGAAATAGTGCAATAAGAGTCTATATACAGATTGGAATCTTTTTTATTTTTTATTTAACCTTTATTTAACCAGATAAAAGCATTGAGATACAATCTCATTTTCAATGCTGACCTGGCCAAGAAGTTAGCAACGTTACACATAACACACACATATAAAAGAGAACATAACTAAGAAAACAAAAGACAAAAAAGCAGTCACTACATTGTGAATATGATATATTAGATCAATAATTTCTAAGTAGCAGCCAGATGAATGTTATGGATGTTGTTTCTAAGTTCAGGTGTTTCATAGTCTTATGGCCTGTGGGATGAAGCTGTCCCTGAGTCTGGTGGTTTTAGTCCGGATGCTGCAGTACCGCCTGCCAGACGGCAGCAGACAGAACAGTTTGTGGCTGGGGTGATGGGGGTCTTTTATAATCCTGAGGGCTTTCTTTAAGGTTAACGTGGTGTTTTTACTCCACTACATTTATTTTAGTTACTTTACAGATTTGGATTAATGATGTGAAATATAAACAACCCTTAAATCAGACTTTAGTTACACCTGAGTAAAATTCAGTTAAGGTGATTGTCAAGTGCCAACAATCAGGAGAGATATTTGATAGTTGGTGCTTGAGAAGACTAAACATTTATCTGCAGATCCGTATAAAGCATATTCATTACTCGTTATTCTCTAATCGTTCATTAAAGACTGTATATAATTGATATTTTGCACATCCCTTTCAAGATTTCAAGATTTTCTAAGGTTTATGGACATATCATATACACAACTACGGTGTAGTTATGCAATGAATGCAAAACTTGGGTCACAGGTTCCTCAACAGTGCATTACAAGACATCTATCAATATGTGTGTACCTCCACCATTAAACTGTCATATTCTGCACATGTATTATTCTATCTAACATCTTATAAGAGTATAATAAAGATGTATAATATCGGTTAAAATAAGTGCTTCAACATAGTTAACATTGCAGGAAAGTTGATTGTCAAGTTCCAAAACAAACCATACAATATATTAGACGTTAAGTACTTTGTCAGGCTTAATATGTATCTGTAGATAGATACCCCCAAAGCTTTTTTCTTATTTAAAAGAAGACCTTAGCCTAAAGTATTCTTTAATGTTTAAATAAAGCCTTATTAGTTAGCACATCCTCCTATCAGGCACTAAACTGTTTTGTTGTAGATATTATTTACAGTATCTTCTTGATATTTTCTATTCTATATTTATATCATTGACCTTCTACTTTCCCACTATTTTGTATGTATTCTTAATATTTAAATGTTTTCATCAAACACATTCAAAAGTACTTTACAAAAATGAAAGACATTAAGAAAAAGGCATTTTAAACAGTTATTAAAAAGCAACATAATCTACCTGCATTGCAATTACTCTAAACGTGTAATAACGTGCTTTAACCAGTAGGTGGTTTGGGTTAAAAAGCTGTCAAGTTTACAGTGTTAACAAAATAAAATATACTGCTGTTTTTGGTTTAGTTGACAACGGATATATTTTGTTATTGTTTTGATATTTGTAACATAAAAGCGATGGAAAAAACCCACAGCAACACAGAAAATATGGTCTTAACATGACCCAGCGGTCTAGTAGTTAATAAAAAACAATAATATCAAAACAAATTATTACTACTAACTTTATTGTGAAATTAAAACAGAACGGTAAAATAATAGTTTCCGGTCTATTTTGAGGCCCGATCTCTGTAGATAAATAAAGAACTACGACAGATGTGTAATATTTAATGCAGCCAAACCATTTATTACAATGCATTCATGTGATGACTTTCAAAGAGTAAAGCAAGCACTGCTGAATAAAGTATGATTTATCTTTTACGAAACGTTTTTTATATGGAATGCAGTTGGAGGTCAACCAATCACAGAGCTTGAGGACTGATCACGGGGTTTGTCAAGCTAAGCACATGGTGTAGTCCCAAACGATAGCTGAGGATTCTGGGTAGTGTAGTGTCTTCTGCCATCCAAAAACTCCGAAAAAATATTCGTTTCTCCGAATCGAAGGGGAAAAATACAAAAGCATTGTACACAATTTAAACCAATCAATGTTGTGTAATTAACAAGGATAATCTGGTGTTTTTGAGTTGATGAGTAGTTCAGATATCACTGTAAAATCAATCGACAGTAAGGAGAATACTTACTTCCGGGTGTACAATTATCCGTTATCCAATGGGAATGGACG